TAATTTTTTTTTTCAATTATTACTGCTGTTTTTCTTTTTTTCTTTTTTGTTCTTGTTTAAAGTTTCCATTTTTTTATCAGATTTTTTTTTTTTTTCCTGTACTTGTTCATCTGGCAAAAGTAGTTTTTTAAAAGCTCATTTTGGAAATGTTTAACCATTTTAAGGCTGAATTAACCATTTTAAGTTTGTGATCTAAGGGAAGCTTATTTAGATAATAATATATGTGTAGATAAGGTTTGACTTCATACATAGCCAGCTTTCTGAGAACAGCTCATAGTAAGTTTGATGGTAATATATAGTGATATTTTAGAAATTAAGTTCAGATTATAATATAATCATTAAACTGATTATGAAATATTTGTCTTTAAGTTGGTCATGTTTTCCCTGTTCCTTGAGGTATGTGCCTTTTTTTACTTGAGTAATTCATCTTTTTTATCTTAATGTTTTCCCTTATAAATTAGGAATTAATAGGAACATCTGGCTCTCATAGTTTTTTTAATGTTTTATTGAGGTGCTTAATATGATTTATTAAAGAATAAGGTCACCCAGATCAGTGGCAATTTGCAATTAGTGGGGAAGTTTTAGTGTACAGTTTCTTACATTGTTTCTCATCCACTTTTTTAGCTCCTTGTGCTCTTACCTGTGACATTGTTATGCAAAATGGAAGGGAAACAGGCAAAGGGGCAAAGCTGAGTCCAGAGGGAAAAGACAAGGACAAAATAACACACTCAGCCCCTCCCACCCTCTGTGCAGGGTACTGCTCCATGTTTTTACTTGCCTCATGTCCCACCCTTGACTTTTCAGACTCCTCATGTAGTTGGGGTTTGAATTTTGAATAAAGTTTTTATTTTTAATCAATTGTGGATTGGCAGTGTAGATGGTTTGGGACCCTATAGTAGAACTGGAGCTTTGACTTGATTTTTTAAGAATTCTCCAAAGAATACATTTTTAAAGCATAAGGGAAAATACTTGTCTTTTTACTATATAAAGCTAAAGGCTTTCACTTATTTTCAGTTAGATCTAAGAACACATTTGAACATTGCTGCTCCCTAATTTTGCTTTATGGAAATCTTTTGCTCGTTTTTCCTTTTGGATCTTGGAGGTTAGATTTTCTCAACTTACTTCTTTCTGCATTATGTAGTATCTTTAGAAATTCGGTATGTTTACGATTTCAAAACAAAATCAATGTACTTTAAACATTTGAATTGTTAAAAAGCTATTTTATGGCCCAGCAGAGAATTTGGAACAGGTGCTAACATACTTGCTTCTGCCTGGCTTCTTGTCCTTATGTTAGAACTTGTTAGCATGAATGAACAAAATGAAAAGTTGCAATATTTTCGATAAAAATAACACTTTAAAAAGAATTTTTGTTCCTGGCAGTGTAAAACTTGGCACCTAGCAAATAAGAGGACTCACAGATATATAAAGACACTGTCAGCCCCTCTGGAACTACTGAATTCCTCCATCATAGTAATTCTCCCAATGTCTGCAATCCAGTTCATTAATTTTTATTTTGTCCTCTTGGAACTTGTCCATAAAAGTTTTTTTTTTTCCTTTCTTTTTTAACCTGATCATCAGGTCTTTTGGCTGCTATGGGTGTGTAGTTTGAGTTGAGGTTTTTTTTTGTGTATTGTTGGATTCTTGTCCAGAAAGTACTATAAGATGTTGGGGGTGGGGGTCGTTTTCCTTGGGAAATTTATCTCACTGCTCTGTCTCTGCTTGTTTGACAGCTGTTCCTTCACTTCTAACTTTATTACTAATTCAAAGAGTTATAAAGCCATGTGTGAGCAGCTGTTCACTGTTTCATTAGGACAAAATAGAAAGAAAAAACCCAACTATTATCAGGAGTGATTTAGGTTAGGTTGTAGAAATAATTTTCTGGCAGTTATGATATAGTAACTTAGTAAAAAGAGAGAGTTGTAGAATTTTTTAAAAAGAGCATAAAATAGTATTTGTTGAAAGATGAGAGAAGTTGAAAGATGAAATACTGACTGAAGATGGGATAGTGAACCAACTAGTTTTGAATTCCTGTTCTAGTTCTAGGATTTTATGATTTCATGCTGGAGTTTATTCTCTTACAGACTAACTTTTCCCATGACTTTCTGTGTTTAAGACTCTTCGTGCAATTGTAAGCTTTTTAAGCTGATTTATATTTATTTTTGAGTTGATATCTTAGCTATAGAAAAACTTCATTTATTTAGCACCCAGGTGCTGAATTAAAATTTAAAACTTGTTTGCTTTTAGTTAAAGAAATGTAATAATCAGACAAAGGGAAAAAGAATAGAAAAATTTGGTAATTAAATATTGCTCATGGGACTACAAATGAGATGGCTTAATCCTTATCTTTTGTCACTAGTCCTTCAGAATATAATTATTATAATCATGTTTCAGACCTTTAAATAATACCTAGCATGTGTTAAATAGGTACTGTGTGCCTGGCTAAAAGTGCAGCTAATTTAATAGATAGTGTACTGTTTAATTCTCACAATAATCCTGGGAATTGTATGAATATGAAAAATGTATGAATATAAAATTGTGAATACATTATGATGTCATTGAAAACACATACACCCATGCGTTCGCGCACATGTATTTGAAAGGTTGTAAGTATTAACAATGGTTACTTTTAGGTGGTAGGAAAACATATAATTCTTCTATTGTCCTTTATAATTTATGTATTTATTATATATCAATTATCTTTATAATCATATGAGATGGGAATTGCTACTATTATTTTCACATTCTGACACGTTGGCCATGTCTTACATATGTGCAACAATTTCCAAATCGCTATCCTCACCATCTCACATATTTAGGAACTGTAAAACCATTTTAAATATTTTTTAGAAGTTTTTGTATTTGTGGAAAGATATTTTATGTTTTTAGACAAAGTCTGTGTCTTTTAGGCTACTTTTCTTATTCCTCTCTTGATTACAAAATTTTGAGACTATTATCCTTGTGCCTTTACTGTTCCTAAGACAAGCCCAGCACATAGAAGATATTTTTCTTAAAGTTTATTTAATTTATTTTACTCGTAAATTCCAACTGCAGTGCAATAATTGAAAACAAATTCCTTAATTTCCAAACATTTTTTTGTTTTTGTCTTTTAATGTAACTCTATTATACACTTGCCCAAAGTCTGAGTCTTGGTTGTTACCCTTGATTCCGTATGCTTTTTCACTACCTCTCCAAATCTAATTAATTATTGTTGAAATGGATGAAGTGTTCGGGATAATAAATTGGCATTGTGTATGAAGAGACCTTAAAAATGCCCATGTCCTTTAATCCAGTAATTCTTACTTTATGAAATAAATGCCAGGAAAGCAATTTAGAAAAAACATCATATAATCTCAGGATTATGGTTGGTAATACAGCGTTCTCCTGGTTCTGTGGACAAAAAACCATAACATGCAAATTCATTTGGGAAAAGTAATCTTTTTGTGATATTAACAACAAAAAAAACACACAAAAAAACAACCTTCTGTTTTCTTAGATTTGTAGATTGCTTTCTGACTTTTCTTCTTCTTCATTTCCTCTTGCCTCTTAAATGCAGGTGGTGCCCAATACCCACATCTCTCTTCTCATGGTTGGCAATTTTAATGGATCTCATGGATTCTTTTTTTGTATGTAGAGATTTCTGAAATCTGACATTCCAGGCCTATCCTCTTTACAGTGCTCCATTTGTGATGCTTACATTTAAAATACTCAGTTTTCATCTTTTGAATATCATGTAACTGTGAAAAAAAATCTATCTTGTTTATTTTTCCTCCTGAAGATCATTTTTCTGTGGTCCATATTCTATCAACCTATCTTGACATCTTTTCTTTTCAGTTCTCCCTCTTTCTTATTCCACCCTCAGAACCCTCCACTGTAGACCTGCATTGTCTTTCTGGTGTATCTTCGTTATCTACAGGTGGTCACCTTAGTTTAAGCCGCTTTTTTTTTGTTTTTAAGGATGTTTGTGGTTGGTCTGTAATTAGTCTCCCTGCACACTCTATCCTCAAATGACTTTTGTCAGAGAATCTTCCTGATGCACAGATCAGACCACATCACTTTCTAGATTAAAACCTTCAAAGACTTCTTATGTGAATAAAGAGATTCTTAAACTCCTTCATTTAGTCTTCAGGCTCCTCTATTACTATATGGCCTCAATTTAACTTTTCTAATTTTACTTCCCACCCTCAAATTTTTTTTCTCTTATCCTTGTCATACTTTCTTCTGAGTCTTTCATCATATTTTCACATTTCTAGATCTCATCTAGGCTTCAAGAGTTGAATTTCAGATTTGCCTGCTAACTGGAAGGAATCTTTCCTTCCTGGGAACTCTCAAAGGCCTTTTCTGTTTCTTTGCTACTGTGCTTAGGATCCTTTCCATTGTACTATGGCTATTTCTGGGCATGTTACTGGTAGTTGTTAAGTTCTTTAAAGTTATTCATGTTTTATTTTTCTATTTCCTAATTAGTTCATAATGCATATTAAGTAAATAATATGTAAGGAGCTCGCTTGTTGGGGGGGGGGGCATTTCATATTTTAGGAAAAGGAACAAAAATTTGAGGATATTTCATCAGTATGCCAGACAGAAAAGATTATATATTCCATAAGTACCTACAGAAATATATTTTCAAGTATTTGCTGAAAAAGAAAATAAATTAGGTGTATAGATAAGACTTTGGGTCACTAATACAAACCATTTGCAAACAGATGAAACCTAATTTTAAAAGCCATCTAGAATAGAAGATAGACTTAGCAGTGTGTTCAATCATTTAAGCAGTTATTTATATAAGATTCGCAAGCAGAAACATTTTGTTTTTCTGTAGTATTTCTACAATATGCAGATTACATTTTATGTACTTTTAATTAATCTTGATATTGTTGGTATTTCTTTTAGGATCCTCCTGATTTTTAAATGGTCTGTTCCTTCTCTTGTACTTCTTTTGTTGATCTTTTTTTTAAGTTCTCTGTTCTGGAAAACTTATGTTTAGAACATGTTCTGTTTTGCAGGTATCCTGGTCAGATATAGGAGGACTGGAAAATATCAAACTGAAATTGAAACAGGCTGTGGAATGGCCCTTGAAACATCCGGAGTCTTTCACCCGAATGGGTATTAAGCCACCTAAAGGAGTTCTTCTGTACGGGCCACCTGGTTGCTCTAAAACGATGATTGCAAAGGCTTTGGCCAATGAAAGTGGACTGAATTTTCTAGCAATAAAGGTATGACATTAAGTTTTTAAATTGCTAATTTCTATTCTAGTCCCCTTAGAACCCATCCTCTCATTCCTGCCCTTCAGAGAACATGAGAAGGCAACTTAAGGAGTAGCTGATTTGAGTTTGATAGCAGTGTAGTATAGGGAGATGAGAGATAAGTAAATTAGTTTCATCAGCAAATCAGGTGGACAGTAGAAGACTGCTTTATTTAGTTTCTTGATTCTCACTATTTCTTACACTCATGTGTAATAGAAACCAGTCGTCTTTAGTTTTTACATTTTTAAATTATACTGATCACTTTTGCTCATCTAAGACTTAATTATAAATAAATAATAGGGGCCCGGTGAATGAAATTCGTGTACGGGTGTGGTCCCTAGGCCTGGCTGGTGATTGAAGCACGAGCAATCTGGTATAGAAGGACATGTCCCAGCTGACCTCCCGGCCCTGGGCAACACCTGGACCCCCGGGCCCCAGTGCGCCCCCTGTCTGCCTGAGTCATTGGGCCCCTGCCTGGCTCCCTTAGCGCCTGGGAACTGCCCCCCACCGCTGGTCGCTGTCTGCAGGGCGATTGGTGGGGCTGTCGGACCCCTGCTCACACCTGTCTTGGCCTGGCACCTCCCACTCACCTGGTCCACCATCCCACCACAGTCCCGCTCTCATCGGGGCCATCAGGGCCTGCTGCCAGTGCCCTGTTGCCGACACCTGCCGTGTTCTGTGCCACCCCCTGGTGGTCATTGCATGTCATGGTGAGCAGTCGAACTCCTGGTCGAGGGGACAATTTGCATATTAGGCTTTTATTGTATAGGACTAGAGGCCCGGTGCACAAAAATTTGTGCACTCGGGGGGGAGGGCGGGGCCCCTCAGCCTGGCCTGTGCCCTCTCGCAGTCTGGGACCCCTCGGGAGATACGACCTGCTGGCTTAGGCCTGCTCCCGGATGGCAGAGGGCAGGCCCAATCCCTAGGTACAGCCCCTGGTTGGGCTCAGAGCAGGGCTGATTGGGGAGTTGGGGCGCTGCCCCTGTCATGCACAGAGCAGGGTGGATCGGGAGGTTGCGATGCCACCCTCAGTCATGCTCAGGGTAGGGCCAATTGGGGGGTTGGGGCACCGCCCCCTGTCACACTCAAGGCAGGGTCAATGGGGAAGTTGCGGCGCCACCCCCCGTCACGCACAGAGCAGGGCCAATTGGGTTGGGGTGCTGCCCCCTGTCACTCACAGAGCAGGGACCATCAGGAGGGTTGGGGCTCCGTACCCTGTCACGCACAGAGCAGGGCCCATCAAGGGGTTGGGGAGCTCCCCCCTGTCACTCACAGAGCAGGGCCCACCAGGGGGTTGGGGAGCTCCCCTCTGTCACGCACAGAGCAGGGCCCACCTGGGGGTTGGGGAACTCCCCGCCTGTCACTCACAGAGTAGGGCCGATAGGGGAGTTGGGGCACCGCCCCCTGTCACACACAGAGCAGGGCGGATCAGGGGGTTGGGGCGCCGCACCCTGTCACACTCAGGGCAGGGATGATGGGGAGGTTATGGTTCTATCCCATCACACACAGAGTAGGGCCCGTGGGGGACGGTTCGGGCGCCACCCTCTATCACCCACAGAGCAGGGCCAATCAGGGGGTTGGGGCGCCACCACTGTCACACTCAGGGCAGGGCTGATGGGGAGGTTATGGCTCTACCCTGTCACACACAGAGCAGGGCCCGTGGGGGAGGGGTTGGGGTGCCGCACCCTGTCACACACAGAGCAGGGCCGATCAGGGGGTTGGGGCGCCGCACCCTGTCACACACAGAGCCGCAGGGCGATCAGGGGGTTGGGGAGCTCCCCCCTATCAGGCACAGAGCAGGGCTTATCAGGGGGTTGGGGTGCCTTCCCCTGTCACGAACAGAGTAGGGCGGATAGGGAGGTTGTGGCCCCGCCCCCTGTCACACACAGAGCCGCAGGGCGATCAGGGGGTTTGGGCGCTGCCCCCTGTCACGCTGATCCTGGTGCTGGGAGGCCTCGCGACTCCGCTGATCCCGGTGCTGGGAGGCCTCGCGGCTCCACTGATCCCAGTGCTGGGAGGCATATTACCCTTTTACTATATAGGACAGAGGCCTGGTGCACGGGTGGGGGCCGGCTGGTTTGCCCTGAAGGGTGTCCTGGATCAGGGTGGGGGTCCCCACTGGGGTGCCTGGCCAGCCTGGGTGAGGGGATGATGGCTGTTTGCAGCTGGTCACACACCCTTCAGGGTGGGGGTCCCCACTGTGGTTCCTGGCCAGTCTGGGTGAGGGGCTGAGGGCTATTTTCAGGCTGGCGGGTGACTGAAGCTCCCAACCGCTCCTTTTTTTCTTTTCTTTTGTTTATTCTGGGCCAGCTTTAGCTCTGAGGCTTGGCTCCAGCTCTTAGGCCTTGCTGCTGAAAGCAGGTATCTGGTTTGTTTGGGTTCTATAATCAAAACACTGTTTCAACTCCAGCTCTGAGATCCCGGCTGGCTGAAAGCAGGTTTCTGGGGTTTTGTTTAGCTTCTGTATTCGTAACAATGTTTCAGACTGCAAGCTCAGAGGCCAGCAGCGGCAGGCGGGGAACGTTAGCTTCCTCCGTCACTGAAGCAAGCAAGCCTCATGTTCGCTTCCAGCTGCCTGGCTGCCGGCCGCCATCTTGGCTGGCAGTTAATTTACATATCGCCCTGATTAGCCAATGGGAAGGGTAGCGGAGGTACGGCTAATTACCATGTTTCTCTTTTATTAGATAGGATATATAGGATGATTGTAAATTTGATATTTACATACATAGAATTTTCAAAGAAACCAGATACTTTATATGGTAAAACTAGGTTCCTTAAAATAACACTTCCAGTCAGAATGTATGTACATTCTACTCTGAAGTACACACACTCACACACACACATTTGTTCACTGCCTTGTCCTATTACTTGGGATAGATAATCCTATTTGATATGTAGTTTTACATTTACTTTATGACCAGATATTAATGTCTATTAAATGTGATCACATATCCAGTTACTAAATATACATACATAAAACCTCAAAATCATTTCTGTGGACTTTACCACAAAAATATGTATTTAAATATTGTAGATAGCAAATTCATTTCAGAAGAGGTACATGATAATGGTTTTTTTAAAAAATTTATTTCTTATTGATTTTAGAGTTGAAGGGAGAGGGAGAGAGAGATAGAAACATCTATGATGAATAAAAATTTTTTTAATATATTTTATTGATTTTTTACAGAGAGGAAGGGAGAGGGATAGAGAGTTAGAAACATCGATGAGAGAGAAACATTGATCAGCTGATCATTGATCAGCCTCCTGCACACCCCCCCACTGGGGATGTGCCCGCAACCAAGGTACATGCCCTTGACCAGAATCGAACCCGGGACCCTTCAGTCCGCAGGCCGATGCTCTATCCACTGAGCCAAACCAGTTAGGGCTTATTTTACTTTTCTTAAAATTTTTTGTGGAGTGATATTTAGTTAAGTTTAACCTATTTACGTTTAAAGCATCAGTATCTTCATAATCCCTACTGTTTGCACATTTCCCTTTGTTTGTGTGGAAGATACTGGATCATGAAGATTTGGAGAGGATACCATGTTATGCTGAATCACAACCACAGTTTTCAATGTTGGAGTAATGAATTATTTTGAAAATTCCAGTTGCTTTTTCTATGGTTCCTGTCCTCCTACCTTGTGGTAGTGGACATGGCCATTTTACTGGCATTTTCTACTCTTTCCTGTTGCCTCCATTTTTCTATGCCTACGTTGTCATGTAATTGCACAATTACATATGATAAACTTTGAATTTTTCTTGTCTATTCAAAATAACCTTATTTTATAAGGACTTAGCTCATAGTTATTTCCACTTGAATCTCACTTTTTCATGACCTAACATAACATTCCAGATGCTACCAGGACTGCTTTCTGGCCTATTCTATGATTACTCAAAAATATATTTACTACTGTTTTTGAATATGAAATTTTTCATAACTTGAGATAGTTTCACTTTTGTCTTTTTCCAATGTGAGAAAATTACTCAAAGTGTTCTTTGAGAGGTTTATCTTAGATACTGTTCATTTAAAATAACCATGTGTTCAGCTTTTTTGTTCGTTTAATTTCATTTATTTATTTATTTATTTATTCATTTATTTATTTTTTTTTTAATTAAATCTTTATTGTTCAGATTATTACATTTGTTCCTCTTTTTTCCCCCCATAACTCCCCTCCTCCCAGTTCCCGCCCCACCCTCCGCCCTCACTCCCCACCCACTGTCCTCTTCCATAGGTGCACGATTTTTGTCCAGTCTCTTTCCGCATCTCCCACACCCCTTTCCCCCCCAAGAATAGTTCATTTATTTATTTACGAGAGGCCCAGTGCACAAATTTGTGCACCAGTGGGGTCACTTGGCCTGGCCTGCGGGACTGGGCCGAAACTGCTCTCCCACATCCCCTGAGGGGATCTGGATTGCGAGAGGGTGCAGGCCAGGCCAAGGACCCCACTAGTGCATGATTGGGGTTAGGGAGAGACATGGGAGGTTGGTCAGCCAGGGAGGGACTGCAGAGGGCTCCAGGGCTTGTCTGGCCTGTCTTGCTTAGTCCCAGTCGGCCAAACCTCAGCAGCAAGCTAACCTACCGATCGGAGCGTTTGCCCCCAGTGGTCAGTGCACATCATAGTGAGCGGTTGAGCGGCCTTAGCATATCATTAACATATTATGCTTTGATTGGTTGAATGGCATAACAGTTGACCAGACACTTAGCATATTAGGCTTTTATTATATAGGATTTATTTGAGAGAGAGACAGAGAGTGAGAAATACTAGTTTTGTTGTTCCATTATTTTATGCATTCGTTGATTGATTTTTGTATGTGCCCTGACCAGGGATTAAACCCACAACCTTGGCATATTGGGACAATGCTCTAACCCAGCAGTCGCCAACCTTTCGGACCTCACGGACCACCAGTAGTCCGTAGACTACTGGTTGGTGACCGCTGCTCTAACCAACTGAGCTATCCAGCCAAAATTG